TGGGAGAAGGCGAGGGTGGGATGTTCTGAGAGAACAGCATTGAAACAAGTATACTATCAAGGGTGAAACAGATCACCAGCCCAAGTTGGATGCATGAGACAAGTGCTCAGGGCTGGTGCACTGGGAAGACCCAGAGGGATGGGATGGAAAGGGAGGCGGGAGGGGGGATAGGGAAGGGAAACACATGTAAATCCATGGCTGATTCATGTCAATGTATGGCAAAAACCACTACAATATTGTAAAATAATTAGCCCCCAACTAATAAAAATAAATGGGAAAAATAAATAAAGAAATGAAAAATAAATAAATAAATAAATAAAGGTACAAAGAATTGCCATGCAAGTATGTGTGAGGGGAAAAAAAAATCTGTAAAAAAGCTATAGGTTAAGTGTAATTAATCTGCTGCAGCACTTTTACATGAATGAAGGCTCAGGACAAGTCCTGGAAAAAAGAGGATATGAACTTGGCCTCCTGGGGAATGATGTCCAGAACACAGGAAGCAGACAGAAAAGCTGTCCATGTTAACCATGAATTCACAGAACACAGACCTTGTTGAAATAAAAAGGCCTTTGTTCAAGGCTTGTTAGGATTGCAACCCAGGACTTGTTGTTTAGTTGCTAAGTCATGTCTGAGTCTTTTGTGATGCTATGGACTGTAGTCCACCAGGCTCCTCTGTCCATGGGATTTCCCAGGCAAGAGTCCTGGACTGGTTGCTATTTCTTTCTCCATGGGATCTTCCTGACCCAAGGATTGAACATACATCTGCATTGGCAGGCAAATTCTTTAACACCAAGCCTCGAGGGGAGCCCCTAAGAAGTTAATACCAGTAAGCTGTATACTGCTGTACTATACAACTAATTGAGCCTCCACAATTCCCCAGGAGGCAGACTGCCTGAGACTGTGGTGTCCTCGGCCAGGACCTGGGCCTGCCCTGCACTGTCTGGGCGCCCCTCTCCTGTCCTCTACGCTTCTCTCTTCTCACATGACCCCTTCCACACACACTGCTGGGCTTTGCATCCACCCCTCTGGGTGTTACGGCTTTTTCCTTAACTCAGTGGCCACAGAACTCATGGCTCCAGGCATTCTCCATGTCAGACCAGGCTCACTGATTTAGAGCAAGGTACTGCCCTGTCTTTGACATGTAGGATGTCCCAGGGAGGCAAGGGGAGAGGCAGAGTCAGGGTGAGAAGACAGGAGACAGTCCTTGAGGAGCTGCTGACAGGGCACCATGGCCAGCCCCTCTTCCAGGGACAGGTTGGCACCCTTGTTGAGTGAAGCAAACTAAAGCAGCCTGGGTGCTGGGTTCTGACCTCCAGCAGGTAATGACCTCAGACTTTGTCTGCTTTGTTAGAAGTTAGGAGTTTTCAATCAGGCTGTGGATGGGGCTAACCTGGAGGGTAGAAGCTTGTGAGAACAAAGCGGGACCCTGGCTCCCTTCTCCTCATCTACTCACACACTCTGACTGCACTGGCCCCTTTCCTGTTCTTTGAAATCTCTGAGCACCCTTCTGCCCAGAGCATACCCATTTTTTTTCTGTGTCTTGCTGAAACGTGCTTCTCCTCCAGCAATAAATGGCTGATTTATTCCCTGTTTTCATGGCATCTACGAAAGTTTCCCCTCCCTAGAGGAAACTTCCACTCCACTCATGGAAAGCATCAGCCCCGTCTCTCTCTGTTTCCTGGTCCTGTTCAGTCTTTTCTTCTATCTCTGTCAGTCTCCAGAGGGGGAATCTTAAGGCCAAAGCAAGGCTGTGGGTGAAGTGGAATGTGTGTGTGTTGGGGGGGGGTGGCATGTGGAGTGGTATCTTCTCTCCACAGGCTTTGCTAGAATGGAAGCTGCTTCCCTTCAGGAACAAGGCATAAATATCAATTCCAGATCAATTGAAGGTTAAAGATAAATATATATTTGGAAACCTACTTAAGATAATATTGAAGTGAAATGTGCCATCAGTAAGAACTTTCCCAGATTATTGTAAGAGGAGTCAAAAAGTCATAAGTGAGGATTTCATGTAAAGTGAAAGATGAACGTCCAATGAAGACTTTAAAAGGTGTTTGATCTCATTAGTAGCCATTTACACACAAACTAAATTCAGAGTGAAACACCATTTCACACCTCACAGCTGGGCATATATTTAAGAAAGGCAATGAAATGGGTGCTTGAGATGAAAAATTGCAGGACCGATCACTATGGGGTAATGGAGCTATCGGCCTGGGGTCGTTACCTTGTTCCCCTGTGTGTGGGCAGCCCCAGAATTTATTCATCCTCTCCAAGGCATAGAAGGGGCACACATGAATCATTTCTGTAAGCTTAAGTGCCAGAAACACACAACTATTCATTAACAATATATTGGATTGATTGTGATATATTTAAAGTACAGACTGTTAAATAGTAAAGATAAAAAAAGCTGCATGAAGTAACATGGAGAAATCTCAGAAACCAAAATTGGAAACAAAATGACAATCACATGATGAAAGGATAATTACTATGTGATTCTATTTATACAAAGTACAAAAAGAGGAAAAGCCAAATATTGCTTAGGAATGCATATGCATGTGGGAATCTCTGCTCAAAGCAAGGAAATGTCATAGAGTTGAGATATACAGAGGAAGTAGAATGCTTTATTTCTGATTGTGTGTAGACAGAATTTTTTTTCTATACAATTTTATCTGTGTACCTGCGTATAATATATTTCTTAATAAAAGCCATATCATATAGAACATAGACTCCAAGTGGTGTTTAACTATAAAATTTGATACCATAAACTTCAAAAAGAAAATATAAGTTTTTATATGATCTTGAGATGGGGAAGACCTTTCAAAGCTGTTATGAACTGATCATGTCCCCCAGATTCATCTGTTGAAGCCCTAATCCCATTGTCAGAATATGACTGGACTTGCAAATGGGCTTTAAAAGGGGAACAAATTAAAATGAAGCTATTAAGGAGGCCCCTAATCCGATCAGACTGTGTCCCCGTGAGAAGAGAACATTTGGGCCAACAAGGAGCGCCAGGGCTGTGTGCCCAGAGGGAAGACACACTGAGGACGCCTCTGTCCGCAAGGCAAGGGGAGAGGCCTTGGGAGGAACCACATGACAAGACATTGGATCCTGGGCTTCCCGCTTCCAGGGACGTGAGGACATAAATTTCTGTTGTTTCACTCCCCTCCTTCCTCCCATCCCAGTCTGTCCTATTGTTATGGCAGCTGCAAGAAATTGATACATTAACATTATCTGGAATGTCAAACACCATAGGAAAGGTTAATGGGTTTTCTCACACAACACAGTTAAACACTTAAAAGTTGTTGGGGGAGCAAATTAGCCAAAAGAGCGTGTTCAGGCTCTCACACCCATGGGTTGTAAATAGTGACTCTGATGGCTGAGATCAATTACAGCACTGCGCATGCGCAGCAGGAGGTACTTGCTTGGTCCTGGAGCTGCTTCGTGCAGTGTGGCGATACGTGTTCCACCTGAAAAGCAGACGCATTACTGCTGTGTCAAGGCTGCGTCCACAGGGTCAACCACGAGAGGAGAGAAAGCAGTATGTTCGCTGCTATGGCTGCCGCACCAGCTAGGGAAGAAGAAACATGTCTGCAGTTCCTAAGGCTCCTTGAGTTTCCCTAGAGCGTCTTAGCTCACACCTTGTCCACCATGGGTTCAGTGAACAGTGCAAGCAGTGTGACACAGAAAGACAGTTGGCGCTGTGAACAGGATCAGCAATCAGTTCAGTTCAGTTCAGTCCCCCAGTCGTGTCCGACTCTTTGCGACCCCATGGACTGCAGCACGCCAGGCTTCCTTGTCCAACACTAGTTTCCGAGGCTTGCTCAAACTCATGTCCATCGAATAGCTGATGCCATCCAACCATCACATCCTCTGTCGTTCCTTTCTCCTCCTGTCATCAATCTTTCCCAGGATCAGGGTCTTTTCCAAGGAGTCAGCTCTTCACATCAGGTAGCCGAAGCATTTGAGTCTCAGCTTCAGCATCAGTTCTTCCGATGAATATTCAGGATTGATTTCCTTTCAGATGGACTGGTTGGATCTCCTTGCAGTCCAAAGGACTATCAAGAGTCTCCTTCAATACCACAGCTCAAAAGCATCAGTTCTTTGGCACTCAGCCTTCTATGTGGTCCAACTCTCACATCCATATGTTAATACTGCAAAAAACCATAGCTTTAATAGAGGGACATTTGTTGTCAAAGTAATGTCTCTATTTTTTAATAAGCTGTCTAGGTTGGTCATAGCTTTTCTTTCAAGGAGCAAGTGTCTTCTAATTTCATGGCTGCAAAGTCACCATCTTCAGTGATTTTGGAGCCCAAGAAAATAAAGTCTGTCACAGTTTGCATTGTTTCCCCATCTATTTGCCATGAAGTGATGGGAGCAAATGCCATAATCTTAGTTTCTTGAATGTTAAGCTTTAAGCCAACTTTTTCACCCTCCTCTTTCACTTTCATCAAGAGGCTCTTCAGTCCTTTGCTTTCTGCCATAAAGGTGGTGTCATCTTCATATTTGAGGTTATTGATATTTCTCCTGGCAATCTTGATTCCAGCTTGTGTTTCCTCAGCTCTGCCTTTCTCATGATGTACTCTGCATATAAGTTAAATAAACACGGTGACAAGATACAGCCTTGACATATACTCCTTTACCTATTTGGCTCAAAAGCCAATAAACAGGCCAGTTTAGTGAAAAGGAAAGTTTGCTCTATTTCAAGATCTGGCAATTGAGGGGGGAGTGTGTGGCTGACATTTGTCCAAAGGCTGAACACACAAGACCCCCCCCCCCACGCATACCAGTAGGCAGGGGGCAACAGCTTTTATAGACAGAGCACAGTCATCTCTGACAGTTATCTTCAAATTGGCATTCAGTGATCTGAGCAGCAACATCTTAGTTGTTTTAGGTACAGTTAACCTTCAGTTCCTCTATTTCTTTGCACTTATCACTAAGGAAGTCTTTCTTATCTCTCCTTGCTATTCTTTGGAACTCTGCATTCAAATAGGTATATCTTTCCTTTTCTCCTTTGCTTTTCACTTCTCTTCTTTTCACAGCTATTTGTAAGTCCTCCTCAGAAAGTCATTTTGCTTTTTTGCATTTCTTTTTCTTGGGGATGGTCTTGATCCCTGTCTCCTGTACAATGTCACGAACCTCCGTCCATAGTTCATCAGGCACTCTGTCTATCAGATCTAGTCCCTTAAATCTATTTCTCACTTCCACTGTATAATCATAAGGGATTTGATTTAGGTCATACCTGAATGGTCTAGTGGTTTTCCCTACTTTCTTCAATTTAAGTCTGAATTTGGCAATAAGGAGTTCATGATCTGAGCCACAGTCAGCTCCTGGTCTTGTTTTTGCTGACTGTATAGAGCTTCTCCATCTTTGGCTGCAAAGAATATAATCAATCTGATTTCGGTGTTGACCATCTGGTGATGTCCATGTGTAGAGTCTTCTCTTGTGTTGTTGGAAGAGGGTGTTTGCTATGACCAGTGCGTTCTCTTGGCAAAACTCTATTAGCCTTTGCCCTGCTTCATTCTGTACTCCAAGGCCAAATTTGCCTGTTACTCCAGGTGTTTCTTGACTTCCTACTTTTGCATTCCAGTCCCCTATAATGAAAAGGACATCTTTTTTGGGTGTTAGTTCTAGAAGGTCTTGTAGGTCTTCATAGAACCGTTCAACTTCAGCTTCTTCAGCATTACTGGTTGGGGCATAGGCTTGGATTACCGTGATATTGAATGGTTTGCCTTGGAAACAAACAGAGATCATTCTGTCATTTTTGAGACTGCATCCAAGTACTGCATTTCAGAACCTTTTGTTGACTATGATGGCTACTCCATTTCTTCTAAGGGATTCCTGCCTACAGTAGTAGATATAATGGTCATCTGAGTTAAATTCACCTTTCCAGTACATCTTAGTTTGCTGCTTCCTAGAATGTTGACGTTCACTCTTACCATCTCCTGTTTGACGACTTCCAATTTGCCTTGACTCATGGACCTAACATTCCAGGTTCCTATGCAATACTGCTCTTTATATCATCGAACCCTGTTTCTATCACCAGTCACATTCACAACTGGGTGTTGTTTTTACTTTGGCTCCATCCCTTCATTCTTTCTGGAGTTATTTCTCCCCTGATCTCCAGTAGCATACTGGGCACCTACTGGCCTGGGGAGTTCCTCTTTCAGTGTTCTATCATTTTGCCTTTTCATACTGTTCATGGGGTTCTCAAGGCGAGAATACTGAAGTGGTTTGCCATTCCCTTCTCCAGTGGACCACATTCAGTCAGACCTCTCCATCATGACCCATCCATCTTGGGTGGCCCCACACGGCATGGCTTAGTCCAAGGAGCGGCGGCCGCGCAGGCACAGGAGAGCTGAGGGGAGCTACTCAAGGTCAGGAGGGGCAGCCGTGAGGAGATACTCCTCGTTCAAGGTAAGGAGCAGTGACTGCGCTATGCTGGAGCAGCCGTGAAGAGATACCCCACGTCCAAGGTAAGAGAAACCTAAGTAAGACGGTAGGTGTTGCGAGAGGGCATCAGAGGGCAGACACGCTGAAACCATAATCACAGAAAACGAGCCAATCTGATCACAGGACCACAGCCTTGTCTAACTCAATTTAAGACTTATAGTTACTATAGATATCTTAAGTGACTTAAGTCTCATTACTTTTGTAATTAATATTCTGTCTACAGGCTTCAGTCAGATGTGCTTCTACCTGAAATACTTTTCTAGGTTAGTTATTTATAACATTACATTATTCTGAGTCTTCAAGAATGGGTCAAGTTATTAAAAGAACACATTATTCCAAGAAAATATCCCTATCAGCAAAATGAACTGCTCATATTCAGCAATAATGTACAGAGATGCTCAGGGACCATGGCGAATTACCTCATGCAATATACATAACAACTGATAAACAGCCATAGTAATAAAGAGCTATCAGAGTCAGTACAAACCAATAATATATACAAACTTATATCTGAAATTTTTTCAGAGAGAAAGACATAAACTAATATTTCTCAGGAGAACAAGTGCAGGGAGCCAGTAAACTTTAAAAGATACTCAACTTCACTATTAACAACCAAAAACCAAAATATGACTAGCCATTTTCCATATGTCAGACTGGCAAAAAAAAATTTTTTTAACTGATAATAAATACTAACAAAATTGTAGAGTATATACCCCAGGAAAATACTTGTTTGTAGGCATACAGAAGCTTTAACTGTAGTAATGTCTGTGAACATATAGACAAGGAAAAAATTTCCTCAAAAAATTAAACACAGAATTAGCATTTGACCCAGAAATCCCACGCTTAGGCATATACAAGAAAATGTCCACACAAGAACCTGGATAAAAATGTTCACAGCAGCATTATTCATAGTAGCCAAAGGATGAAACAATGCAAATATTCATAAACTGATAACAAATTGTGTTATTATCTATAAAATGGAATATTATTCAACTGTGAAAAAGAATTAAGTACTGATACATGCTACAACATGGATAAACCTAGAAAACATTATGCCAGGTGAAAGAAACCAGTAACAAAAGGCCACACACAATATGATTCCATTTATATGAAATGTCCAAACATGCAAATCTACAGAGATAAAAAGTGGACTGGTGGTTACTTAGGACTGGCATGAGGGGAAGGAGATAGGTAGAGATAGGAAGTGATAGCTAAAAGGTACAGGGGTTTCTTTTTGAAGTGATGGAAATGTTCTAAAATTGATGGTTGCACAATTCTGTGATTATACTAAAAGCCACTGAATTTTGCTCCTTAAATGGGAGAGATGAATAGCATATGAATTTTACCTCAAGACTGTTGAAAAAAAAAGGAAAAGAAACCATATCCTGTCTAAAAACAGGAAAATGATTAGCTAGAACCTGGTGCATTAGTGTTCTAGAAAATTACACAGCTTGATTTTACAGGCATAAGTCTCTGAGATATGCTTCTGGGGGAAGAGGGAGTTAAAGAAAAATAGAGTATGACACTGTGTAATTTTTAAAAATTAGAAACACAAAACCAATGTGTGTGTGTGTATGTGTGTGTGTGTGTTAAAGGAAGAAAAGAGAAAAGGACCTGAAAAGAATCAAGCAAAACTGTTAATAAATATTACCTCCAGGAAAAGAGGTAGAACAGCGGAAATGAGAGGTATGGTAGAGGACATTTTTGCTTTTGACTTTCTGTGCAGTTCTCTGTTTCAATGAGCTGGTAATGATTTACAGTTTCAAAAACCATTTAAAAATAAATGGCAATCAACCTATACTAGTATTATCAAAGTTGGTATGTGAAATGCTGAGAAAGAAATCTTCACTGTTATACTTCCTCTCCTCTTCTGGAAGTAATTATGGCATATGAGAAAGCCCTACCCAAAGTTTAGCATTTCTAAATACATGGTGCCAAGTATCTGATGCAAAGAAGCAATTCAAGACGGGTAGTTTTCCAGTTGTTTGTTTTGAAGGATACCTAACTTTAAAACACAAGGCCTTTTACCTTTAAGAGTTTGGAGCGTGCAACATTGAGCACATTTATAACTGCCTTACAACTTGGCCCTTTAATCTGTTCGATGATATAATTGAACTTGGCTGACATGCGTTTCCAATGCTCCAGTTCAGTGAGTGGACCCGAGTCATCAGCTTCTTTCCTCATCTGCTCACTCTCAATAAGAACCTGTAATCAAGAGTTCAAAGCTTAGAAACGTTACTTTCTTCTTTTAAAATCTAATGATTTGCACTTTTTTTTAAAGAAAGTTAAAAGTATAAATGACAGTCAACACTGAATAATATTAAGAACGCTTAGTATACTAAGACTAGAAGAGAATATCTTTACCATGATACTGAGTATCTACCAAAAATCTACAGCAAACCTCACACTTAAAAATGAAATTGTAGAAAATACCACTTTGAAACCAAGGACAAGACAATTTCGTCACTATCACCACCCACTTCTATTCAACCTGGACATGGAGATCACAGAACAATATAAGGAAAGTAAACAAAAGGTACAAGAATTGTAAATAAAAAACAAAAATGGCATAATCACAGATGGAATGGTTGGCCACATTTTAAAAATTCAAGAATATATAAAGACAGAGTTTTATAACTAATAAAAGTGAACAATTCAGTAAGGTTTTGGGTGTATGTATTTAAATATTAGTATCATTTCTTTACAAGCCATCCAGCAATCTAAAAATGTAATTTCTAAAATGACAGCATGTGCTACAATAAACAGTAACAATGTTAAGGTATCTAGAGTTTAACAAAAGATGTACAAGATCTTTTTGGAGAAAATCAGAAAATTTACTTTCAGCACACAAAATAAATAAATAAATGGAGAAATACACCATGTTCATGGATTGGGAAATTCAATAATATAAAAATGGCAATTTTCTCTAAATTAATGTATACATTCAATGAAATTTCCAATCAAAATCTCAACAAGACTTTTTTTCATGATACCTAACAAACTAGTCTCAAAATTAATTTGGAAGACCATTTAACCAGAAATAATCAACGTAATTTTGAAGAAAAACACTGAAAGGGAATTAGCATACTAAATGTTGATTTAGTAAAAAGCAACAGAAATTAATGCAGTATGGTGTGAAAGCAAAAAACAAATAAGTAGACCAGTGGGATAGATAAAAGAGTCTGGAAACCTGATACATAATACCAATTTGTTAGCAAAGAATGGACGACTAAATACAGTTCTGGGACAACTGGCTAACTAGATGGAAAAGACAAAATCAGATTCCTAGTTTGCATTATATGTGCATGTATGCTAAGTTGCTCCCTTCATGTCCAACTCTTTGCGACCCTATGGACCGTAGGTCACCAGGCCCCTGCACTCTCCAGGCAGAAACATGGGAATGGGATGCCACGCCCTCCTCCAGGGGATCTTCCCCGGGATTGCTCCCACGTCTCCTGCAGCCCCTGCATCACAGGCAGATTCTTCACTGCTGAGCCACTGGGGAAGCCCTCACATTACACACAGATACAGATAATTCCAGATGCATTAAAACTTAAACGGTTAAAACAAAATGGCAAAACATTTAAAGAAAATATAGAAGATGGGGGTAAAACTATAAAGAAAGACACGGAATGGAATATCATGACTGTCAAGAAAATGGTAACCACTGGAAGAAAAAGAAGTTAAAATTGGGAAGAGAAATGCATGGAGATTGCAAGGTGCGGATAATGCTCTATGTCTTAACTGGTGCAAAAGTTACACAGGTGTTCATTTTACAATAATTTGCTTATCTTATTACTTATTAGTATTATTCATTTGTTACTCATTTTTATATATTTCAGCATTTAAAATAAATAATTTAGGAGAATATCTTCATAACACGAGAGTAGAAAAGTGTTTCCTAAATACAAAAAGCACAAAGCTTCTAGTCACTGGAGGTGGCTAAACTGAGGCTAGATTGCCATTTGTATCTCACATACATCCATTAAATGTAAAACTTCCACATGACTAAAGACACCAATACCAACTGAAAACTCAGGACAAATAGGGAGGAACAAAAGATGAACAGCCGGAAAACATTATTTAAACTCTCAACAATTCAGTAAGACATCATCAAGTAACCCGAAAGAAAGCTAGGTAAAGGATAGGAACAGCCAATTTCACAAGGAGAGATCTAAACATATATTAAGCATGCACCACCTCAGGACAACCCCGGAGGTCCAGTGGTTACAACTCCACTCTTTCTAGAGAACAGACTTACAGACATGGGGAGAGGGGAGGAGGGTGAGATGTATGGAAAGAGTAACAGGGAAACTCACATCACCATATGTAAAATAGATACCCACCGGGAATTTGCTATGTGGCTCAGGAAACTCAAACAGGGGCTCTGTATCAACCTAGAGGGATGGGATGGGGAGGGAGATGGGAGGGAGGTTCAAAAGGGAGAGGATATATGTATACCTACGGCTGACACATGCTGAGGTTTGACAGAAAACAGCAAAATTCTGTAAAACAATTATCCTTTGATAAAAAAAAAAAACAAAAACCTCCACTCTTTGAGTGCAGGGGCTGAGGGCTATGATCCCATGTGTCACACCCAAATTAATAAAAAAAAAAGAAAAGCACAGCCTCAGCAATGTTCAGAGTAATGTAAAATAAATCAAAATACAATTTCACACCCAACATACTGACAACCATTAAAAACCTGACATTCTTCACATAATGGAAGATTTGAAGACATGGAAACTCTCATTTACTTATGTAAAAAATTATAAATTGATATAACCACTGTTTGGAAGGCTTTGCAGTTAGTACCCAATAAAAGACTGATAGAGTACTTCTCTCAGCCATCCCCTGCGAAACTCTTGAACATGTGCAAACAAGACCTGAACAAAGATGTTCAATGAAGATGTATTGACATTATTATTGTTTGTNTTTGTTGGCAAAGTAATGTCTCTGCTTTTTAATATGCTGTCTAGGTTAGTCAGAGCTTTCCTTCCAAGGAGCAAGCATCTTTTTATTGCATGACTGCAGTCACAATCTGCAGTGACTTTGGAGCCCAAAAGAATAAAGTCTGCCACTGTTTCCATTGTTTCCCCATCTATTTGCCATGAAGTGATGGGACCAGATGCCGTGATCTGTTTTCTGAATGTTGAGCTTTACGCCAACTTTTGCACTCTCCTCTTTCACTTTCATCAAGAGACTTTTTAGTTCCTCTTCACTTTCTGCCATAAGGGTGGTGTCATCTGCATATCTGAGGTTATTGATATTTCCCCAGCAATCTTGATTCCAGCTTGTGCTTCATCCAGCCCAGAGTTTCTCATGATGTACTCTGCATTTAAGTTAAATAAGCAAGGTGACAATATACAGCCTTGACGTACTCCTTTCCCAATTTGGAGCCAGTCTGTTGTTCCATGTCCAGTTCTAACTGTTGCTTCCTGACCTGCATACAGGTTTCTCAAGAAGCAGGTCAGGTGTTCTGGCATTCCCATCTCTTGAAGAATTTTCCACAGTTTATTGTGATCCAAACAGTCAAAGGCTTTGGCATAATCAATAAAGCAGAAGTAGATGTTTTTCTGGAATTCTCTTGCTTTTTTGATGATCCAACAGATCACTGAAGATATTAAGATATCTTACGATATCAGAAACAGAATATAGTAAGAAGAGGTGGCAAGAATACACAGAACTATACAAAAAAAGGTCTTCATAACCCAGATAACCATGATGGTGTGATCACTCACCAAGAGCCAGACATTCTGGAATGCAAAGTCAAGTGGGCCTTATGAAGCATCACTATGAACAAAGCTAGTGGCGGTGACAGAATTCCAGCTAGGCTATTTCAAATCCTAAAAGATGATGCTGTGAAAGTGCTGCACTCAACATGCCAGCAAATTTGGAAAACTCAGCAGTGGCCACGGGACTGGAAAAGGTCAGTTTTCATTCTAATCTTAAAGAAAGGCAATGCCAAAAAATGTTCAAACTACCATACAATTGCACTCATCTCACATGCTAGCAAAGTAATGCTCAAAATTCTCCAAGCCAGGTCTCAACAGTACATGAACCGTGAACTTGCAGACATTCAAGCTGAGTTTAGAAAAGACAAAGGAACAAGAGATTAAATTGCCAACATACGTTGGATCATTGAAAAAGCAAGAGAGTTCCAGAAAATCATCTACATCTGCTTGTGTTAGGTCCTTACCATTTTCGTCCTTTATCCTGCCCATCCTTGTATGAGATGTTCCTTTGATATCTTCTATTTTCCTGAAGAGATTTCTAATTTTTCCCATTCTATTGCTTTCCTCTACTTCTTTGCATTACTCATTTAAGAAGGTCTTCTTATCTCTCCTTGCTATTCTCTATAACTCTGCATTCAGTTGGGTATATCTTTGCCTTTCTCCTTTGTCTTTAGCATCTCTTCTTTCCTCAGATATCTGTAAAGCTCCTCAGACCACTACTTTGCCTTCTTGCATTTCTTTCTCTTTGAGATGGTTTGGTCATTGCCTCCAAAATCATCTCAAAAACACTGTACAACATTATGAACCTCCATCCATAGTTCTTCAGGAACTCTGCCTACCAGGTCTAATTCCTTGAATCTATTCATCACTTCCACTGTATAATCATAAGGAATTTAGAACATATCTGAATGACCTAGATGTTTTCCCTATTTTCTTCAATTTAAGCCTGAATTTTGCAATAAGGAGGTCATGATTTAAGCTATAGTCAGCTCCTGATCTTACTTTTGCTGACTGTACAGAGCTTCTCCATCTTTGGCTGCAAAGGGCAATCAACCTGATCTTGGTATTGACCATCTGGTGATGTCCATGTGTAGAATCATCTCTTCTGTTGTTGTCAGAGGGCATTTGCAACGACCCATACATTCTCTTGGCAAAAATGTTAGCCTTTGCCCTGCTTCATTTTGTACTCCAAGGCCAAACTTGCCTGTTATTCTGGTATCTCTTGACTTCCTACATTTCCATTCCAATCCTCTATGATGAAAAGGACATCGCTTTTTATTTTATTTATTTATTTATTTTGGTGTTAGCTCTAGGTTTTGTAGGTCTTCCTAGAACTGTTCAACTTCATCTTTTTCAACATCAGTGGTTGGGGCATAGACTTGGATTACTGTGATGTTGAATGGTTTACCTTGGAAATGAACTAGGATCATTCTGTCACTTCTGAGACTGTACTCAAGTACTGCATTCTATAATTGACTATAACAGCTACTCCATTTCTTCTAAGGGATTCTTGCCCACAGTAGTAGATATAATGGTTATCTGAATTAAATTCTCCCATTCCCATCCATTTTAGTTCACTGATTCCTAAGATGTTGATATTCAGCCTTACTATCTCCTGCTTGACCATGTCCAATTTACCTTGATTCGTGGACCTAACAGTCCAGCTTCCTATGCAATACTGCTCTTTACAACATCTAACTTTACTTTCACCACCAGGCATGTCCCCAGCCAAGCATCATTCCAGCTTTAGCCCAGCTACTTCATTCTTACTGGAGCTGTTAGTAATTGCCCTCCACTTCACCATGGTAGCATACCGAACACCTTCCAACCTGGGGGACTCATCTTGCAGCATCATATCTTTTTGCCTTTTCATACTATCCATGGAGGTCTCCAGGAAAGAATGCTACTGAAATGCTGTACTCAGCATGTCAGCAAACTTGGAAAACTCAACAGTAGCCACAGGACTGGAAAAAGTCAGTTTTCATTCCAATCCCAAAGAAGAACAAGTTCTTTATATATTATGGATACTCACTCTTTGTTACACATGCTGATAATTTCATCCTCAAGCCATACTGCTGTGGTCCTCCTTGCAGTGTGCAGGCTTCCCATTGTGCTGGCTTCTCTTGTTTCAGAGCACAGGCCCTAGAGCGCAGACTCTGGCTTCAGTTGTTCCACAGCATGTCTAATCTTCCTGGACCAGGGATTGAACACATGTCCCCTGTATTGGCAGGCAGATCTTTATCCACTGTGCCACCAAGGAAGTCCTAGATGTAATTTTTAAAGATTTCTTGCACTGATTCTGCTTAACTGGAGACCATTTGCTGCAGTTGGCCAACGTGATTTTCTTATTTCAAGTTGCCTAATATCCTCATGTTAAGCTATTATCTTTTGCTTGCTCATTTTTATAAAAGAAGATCTATTTTGATTGATCATGAAAACTGGAGGAGATCTCAGCTCTGTGCAGGACAGAGCTTGACCTCCACAATGGCTTACAACTCCCCTCCTTCCTCAGTGGCATTAAAGGGAGCTGCAGGTGGACAATTACTCATTTTTATTACCTAGTACACCTGGAAGCAAATTCTGGGGTAAGCACTCCAGGCCTTGATGGAGTTTACAAAACTCCTCCAGATTCTCCGCTCTTAACTACACTTCCCTCCTTCTAACCGTTCTGAGGTAAAATCAGAAATGTTCTCTAACTCTTGCTTGCTCAAGACTTTTCTCCCCTAGTCCTCACTCAATTAAAGATTTTCTACTCCAGTTCCACTCTCCTGTGCTCATGAACTGGAGATCTGTGAGCTGGTTTCTAGAGTCTATTTAGAGCAATTATATCGTATCTGGTTTGGGGCAGCCTTTGTAGTGTAAGTTGGCACCTCTCAGAATGTGACACCATTCCTGTCACTGCTTTTCTTACTGACAGAGAAAATGTATTTGGCCACAGAGCTGCAGACTTGCAACTGGAGCACTAATATGAATGAGCCTAGTTTGAACCTCTCTGTCAACACAGACAATTTCACTGATGAACCAAGAAGCATTTACTAATTATCCAGCATTGTGGCTACAGGCTCTTCACTGTGTTCTTTTCCTCTCTAACGAAAAGCATAAACAATATATAAAATATTGCAGATAAATGCTAGCTATTCCTGATTCTTTATTATTTTATCCTCAAGTTATGGTTTCCTGTTATGGTTTCCTCCTTAAAGTGAGAAATATCTTAAAGGTGATTTTAAATGGTCCAAAGAGAACAATGATTTTGCACTGGAATCAAAAAGAGGCTGAATTTCATAGTAGAATCTGGAAGGTGTCTCTTCCTTTTACATTAAGGAACAAAATGCAATGATTAGGACACAGATGAGAACCACAGCTCACATCTGATGAAGTCACGGAAGCCAGCTCACCTGTTCGATCTGTTTGTACCATATCATCAGCACGTCCTCTAGTTGACGAACAGTTTCTGAATTATTTGCTGCAAGCGTCACGCCTTCAAAGGTATACAGTTTTGAAAAATCAACATTGTCTATTTTCTTTAACTTGACTGTTCCCTCAATACTTATTCTAGCACCTAAAAGGGAAAGAATAATATTGAGAAGAGATGATTAATGTCAGTGTGTTAAACATCAATGTGTGGTTTCAAGCTGTAATTACTAAAATGTTAGAGATTTAATATTTTATAAAAGTATAATTCTAATTGATCATTAGACTGTGCTATGATTATTAAAATTTATTTTTATCAATATGAAATGATATATAGTTTAAACAGAGTTAATAATAAAGTATATATTTTTAAATATGGTAAAAATTTGCACAAATAATACAGGAAGAAACTTTCTCCTCAACAGAAAATATAAAAGAAAATGTATCTTATGCCTTCAAAAATTCCTGGAAAGAGAAGTTGTAATGATTAAATATCTTATCTCTAGGTCCCATAATTACTTTGATTAACATCACCTTTTAAGATGGAAATTTTTTCTCTACTGTTTATTTTTAATAACATATCTTATAGCTAATTTGCTTATTTTATAAGCAAATTTTATAATAATTTATTAAACATTAAATATTATACTTACCATCTAAAAAGGAAAGGTATCTGTTGATGGTTTCAGTAAAAATGTGTTTCTCAGATTCTCCTTGCTGGGACTGGTTTAAAGCACCCCAATTATTTGTCGCAAGAATAGCTGGTAGAAATATATTTGCCAGCATATTTCTAATCCCAACTAGCAGTCCTTCTGATGCATCCAGAACAGTAAATAGCACTTCCTGAAGGATAATGTTCAAAGGTCACTTTATATGCTGGTCCCATTAAGAACTGAAAACCAAAATCTATTTTTACACTGAAGTAAGTATAGACAATACATCTTATAAACTATTAGGAAAACTTAAGTGGTGAATATTAGGGTTCTAAGATGAACAAATTTATATTCTGCCCACATTTAACCATGCAGATGCTTGCTCATCAAGCAAACATTTTTTCTCTGGTGCTTTAAATTCTGCCTACGGAAGAAGTTATGGCCTGGAGCATACACAATGTGAGGGAAATGAAATTGAGCCTCCTGCAAACAGAAAGTTCTAGGTTGACAGTTGCCCTATCTATGAAAAGGAGACCAGAAAATTGTCAGTGCAAAAACAGAACAATGAAACTAGCCTTCTGCCCAGAACTTTGACACAAAAAAACTGCTGGTGAAAGGGTACAAACTTTCAGTTATAAGATGACTAGGTTCTGGGGATATAACGTACAACATGGTGACTACAGTTAACAATGTGCCATGCTAAGTTACTTCAATCATGTCCGACTCTTTGCAACCCTATGGACCATAGCCCGCCAGGCTCCTCTGTCCATGGGATTCTCCAGGCAAGAAGACTCGAGTGGGTTGCCATGCCCTCCTCCAGAGGATCTTCCCAACTCAGGGATCAATCACAAGTCTCTTGTGTCTCCTGCATTGGCAGACAGGTTCTTTACCACTAGCACCACCTGGGAAGCCCCAGAGTCAACAATCAGTTCCATTCAGTTGCTCAATCGTGTCCAACTCTTTGCAACCCCATGGACTGCAGCAGGTCAGGCTTCCCTGCCCATCACCAACTCCTGGAGCTTGCTCAAACTCCTGTCCACTGAGTAAGGAAGCCATCCAACCAACCCATCCTCTGTCCCCTTCTCCTCCTGCCTTCAATCTTGCCCAGCATCAGGGTCTTTTCCAATGAGTTAGTTCTTCACATCAGGTGGCCAAAGTATTAGAGTTTCAGCTTCAGCATCAGTCCTTCCAATGAATATTCAGGACTAATTTCCTTTAGGATGGCCTGGTTTGATCTCCTTGCAGTCCAAGGGACTCTCAAGAGTCTTCTCCAACACCACAGTTCAAAAGCATAAATTACTGTATCATATACTTGAAAGCTGCTGGGACATCCCCAGCAATCCAGTGGTTACGACTTCACCTTCTAATGTAGGGGATGCAAGTTTGATCTTTGCCTGGGGAGCTAAGAACACATATACCTTGTAGCCAAAACATCAAAACATAAAACAGAAGCAATATTGTAATAAGTGCAATAAAGAGTTTAAAAATGGTCCACATCAAAAAGAAACCTTAAAAAAGAAAAAAGTTGCTAAGGGAGTAGATCTTAAACATCATTACCAAAAAAGAAAAGTAGTTAATTATATGAAGTTAATGCTATGATGGTAATAATCTCACAATGTATTAAATAAATTCTTTGCATACCTTAAACTTACATAATGTTATATGTCAACTGTATCACAATAAAGCTGGCAAAAATATTTAACTATATATTTGAAAAAAAGTAAACATACTTCCTGAATATTTTTAGTATTTATAGGGATATCGTTGCGACAGCGAACAAAAAGTACACACTGTCCTTTCAGTTTCTCTGGGGCTGCGTTGTCTACATACAATCTCATCATCTTTGCCCCTTTGGTTGCTCCAGCAATAGTTCGACCACATTCTGAAAACAAAAGTCAAGAACTTAGCATATGATCACATAACTGAATAAATGTGATAAATTACTGTGAATCTTGTATTGGTGTTCCTTGCCTCACTTTATTATAAGAAGTTTTCAATATGATTGTGGGGTAAGATTTTTTGCCTACAAAAAAGATGTCAGTAATTGCAAATCATAACGTTGCCACCTCCTCGGGTGCCTTTCCCTGAGCTCTGCACTTTGCTCCTTCCGGCCTGGCCTCAGGCAGGGCCCTCATGCAAACTCTTCTTCCATCCCATCGTCCACCTTCTACCTCCCTAATCCTTGCTAATCTTACATATCTCAGGCAGAATGCCATCTCTTGGGGAAACCTTCAGTGACTCCCCTAAGAAGATCCTGTCCCCTACTAAATATTCTCACAGCACCCAACTTACATGAAATCCTTCCTTGAGCTAATTTCAGTGAAAACTTATCATTCAATTAGGTATCTATTTTCAGTGTTTGAAGACTCTTGAGAGTCCCTTGTACTGCAAGGAGATCAAACCAGTCCATCCTAAAAGAAACCAACCCTGAATATTCATTGGAAAGACTGATGCTGAAGCTGAAGCTCCAATACCTTGGCCATCTGATGTGAAGAGCCAACCTCATTAGAAAAGACCCGGATGCTGGGAAAGATTGAGGACAGGAGGAGAAGGAAGAGACGGAGAATGAGATGGTTGGATGGCATCACTGACTCAATGGACATGGACATGATTCTGAGCAAATTCTGGGAGATAGTGAAGGACAGGGAAGCCTGGTGTGCTGCAGTCCACAGGGTCTCAAAGACTCAGACATGACTGAGCATCTGAACAACAACAAGATGAAAACAGAAGAACGTCATCAAGTGCTCTATTTTACACTGCAAACTCTAAAAGAGACGGGAGTCTGGAGGAGAGTGATGGACATGGTTTGGAAAACTCTGGGAAGGCTCTGAAGAAAAGAGAATGCATAAAGTGATCCCAAAGAGGGGTAGGATTTGTCTGGGTAGAGAGAAGAAAGGCATTCAGAGACAGTCAGGTTGGAGAGTGGAGAAAAGGGCACAGAAATAACTCTGGTGTGAACAGAGAGCAATGAAGACTGACTTAGAGGGGGCAGCAAGTTCTGGTTAAGAGGAGACTAGGAAATCCAACTAAACAAGCACCGTGTGTCCAGGTTATGACAGGCCTTGGTGCAATAAATGAAGAGTTTGGGCTTAATAAAAGGTTTACTTACCAAGAATAAGTGGTGTAGATTTCAGAGAGGGAATCTGACAACAGATACTATTTTTGGATCTAGAATCCAGGCATGAGATATGAGCCTAGCTTAAAGGCAGCAGAGGAGGAAAGCAGGAAAGAACCAATAGAGGGGACACAGTGGAGGTAAAATCCACTGGATTTATAAGATAAGTAGCCTAAGACCAAAGGATGGGCCACGTACCTGCTTATTAAGACAAAAGTTTACCAACCTGGTAAAGTAGCAATTCTTTTTGGAACAACGTGAAAAGTAGGGAAAGCCAGATATTCCAACTACATCTGCAGCAGACACAGGATGCTCACCTAGGACCATAGGGAGCAACGACTGTGCTTTCAGCTGGCTTCCTGACTATTTCTGGTCATCTGACAACATGTGTACAAAATGGCTCTCTACCTGTTTCAGGGAAAAGGTAATTAAACCCTAGTGAAAATGTATATTCCCAGGGGAAGTCAATGACTTTTATATGGATGCTTTCTTCTTCAATCATTATAGTAATCCTTTAAGTTCCTGGTAAATTTCCTTTATAAATATAGGATTGTCTATGTATAAGAGAAAAGATATGCTACATTTTCACATTCATTCATGAACAGCTGGCACATTACCCTTGCAGAACATACTTACCAAAACCAGGTACATCTCCTTCTTGGTACAAAAATTTCAGTGTCTTACAACCATCTTTCATAAAAAAGAGAGTAAATGCATCCAGCTGTTAAGTAAAAGAGAAATGACTTGTTTAGTGGCTAAGTCATGTCCAACTCTTTTGTGACCCCATGGACTATAGCCCATCAGGCTCCTCTGTCCATGGGATTTCCCAGGCAAGAATACTGGAGTGGGTTGCCATTTCCTTCTCCAGGGGATCTTCTCCAACCAGGGGTCAAACCCAGGTCTCCAGCATTCCAGGCAGATTCTTTATCACTGAGCCACCTGGGGAAGCCCAATAGAATGACTAGGAAACTATAATAAAATGAACCAACAGAGGAAAACCAGTACCACCTCAAGACCTGGAAGGGTGGGCATGGGGGAACAGCAGGAAGCAGGTTGAAAGAAGGAGCTGAAGGAGAGGGACTGCTCTGGAGAACACGGTCAGAATCACGGCCAAGGAGAGAAGGATCAGGCTTCTTTCCCCTATGCCCTCCAGTCTCCTACTGGTACCTCCCAGAGGCTGAGCCACATGGAAGCAAGAGAGCAAGTGAGCCCATGTGGTAGATTCCAGAAAGGTCAGTCTTCCAGGTAATAGAACAGGGTGGAGCACAGGAAAAGAGAATGAATCAGAAAGCCAACAAACTAACCAACACAGTTGTTCTTCATGCACCCACTTTCCTAAACCACACAACAAAACGCACCATCCCCTGCTCCTTGTTCCATCTGCTTCCTCATGCATCCACTAATCATGATGCCAATCTACTGTAAGTCCTGGCTTTGAACATGTAACCAAATAAGCACTCTAATCTCTCCCAGATTTTGACATTTGTCTCCATTCCTGGCTGTATGATCTCCCTTCCACTGTGGCTTTGCAACTCAGAAGGAACTCTTAAGGAAACACCTTTCTTGGCCTGACTTTTCCCTTAATCCTAGATTTCCCATTTCTTGCTGCCTTAGCAGTATCTGGCCTGGTCCATGATAGTCTTAAGGAACAACTTAACCACATAAACCCAAATCCAAGACATACTCTGGAATGATAAGTGGAATGGTTTGCAGCTACCAGGCACTACAGCATGCTCTCTCTCTCTCTCTTCAGTCGCTCAGTCATGTCCAACTCTTTGCAACCCCATGAATCGCAGCATGCCAGGCCTTCCTGTCGATCACCAACTCCCAGAGTTTACTCAAACTCATGTCCATTGAGTTGGTGATGCCATCCAGCCATCTCATCCTCTGTCGTCCCCTTCTCCTCCTGCCCCCAATCCCTCCCAGCATCAGGGTCTTTTCCAATGAGTCAAATCTTCCCATGAGGTGGCCAAAGTATTGGAATTTCAGCTTCAACAACAGTCCCTCCAGTGAAAACCCAGGACTGATCTCCTTTAGGATAGACTGGTTGGATCTCCATGCAGTCCACGGGACTCTCAAGAGTCTTCTCCAACACCACAGTTCGAAAGCAGCAATTCCTCGGCACTCAGCTTTCTTCACAGTCCAACTCTCAATCTATACATGACCACTGGAAAAACCATAGCCTTGACTAGATGGACCTTTGTTGGCAAAGTAATGTCTCTGCTTTTTAATATGCTGTTTAGGTTGGTCAAAACTTTCCTTCCAAGGAGTAAGCATCTTTTAATTTCATGGCTGTAGTCACCATCTGCAGTGATTTTGGAGCCCCAAAAAATAAAGTCTGACACTGTTTCCACTGTCTCCCCATCTATTTCCCATGAAGTGATGGGACCAGATGCCATGATCTTAGTTTTCTGAATGTTGAGCTTTAAGCCAACTTTTTCACTCTCCTCTTTCACTTTCATCAAGAGGTTTTATAGTTCCTCTTCACTTCCTGCCATAAGGATGGTGTCATCTGCATATCTCAGGTTACTGATATTTCTCCCAGCAATCTTGATTCCAGCTTGTGCTTCTTCCAGCCCAGCGTTTCTCATGATGTACTCTGCATATAAGTTAAATAAGCAGGGTGACAATATACAGCCTTGACATACTCCTTTCCCTATTTGGAAGCTGTCTGTTGTTCCATGTCCAGTTCTAACTATTGCTTCCTGACCTGCATATAGGTTTCTCAAGAGGTGGGTCAGGTGGTCTGGTATTCCCATCTCTTTCGAGCCAGTGAGAAAAACTTCCTCCAAGCAGAAAATCCCAGTCAAGAAAACCAGGGGGCGAATATCAATACTTAAGGGTTAATACCACCTCTGTAGGCACCCATCTCCCGAGTCCTAGCATCAGTCCTCCTCTGAAGGCACTGCCCAATCCCCATGTCTATGCCTAAAACTTCTGCAAAGTTACTGGGATTCCAATTATGAAGTCAGCCAACTATGTGGACTTGCAAATTTCAGGTGAAACAAGGTTGATCACCTATATAGTTTCCTCCTTAACCAAGCACAGGAATGGTTCTTAGGACAGCCCTGAAGCCTGGGCCATCTGAGAAGCACTTTTTTTTTAGAAATTTGCCTTTCCTTCATCTCTTGGTCATCCGCTCAGTGATGAGTACAGGGCTGTTTTATGTTACTTTCTTCTACTAGGAGAACATACAGACAGATAAACAGAGTTGTCAGAGGAGCCAAAATGGTAAGGAAAGGAGGCCAGGAGAGATTGAGACAAATGGTGGCTCAGCAGTAAAGAATCTGCCTGTGAATGCAGGAAACACAAATTCCATCCCCGATCCAGGAAGATCCCACATGTGTCGGAGCATCTAAGCCTGTGCTCTAGAGCCTAGGAGCTGTAACCATTGAACCCACATGCTGCAACTCTGAAGCCCACATGCCCTAGAGCCCATGTTCCACAAGAGAAGTCACGGCAATGAGAAGCCCACACACTCCAACTAGACTGTATACCCTACTCTATACAACCAGAGAAAAGCCCACTCAGTAACAAAGACCCAGCACAGCCATAAATAAATAATTTTTTAAAAGCAATACAAACAAAACAGCTTGAGAATGGCAAAGAGAATCCTGTTGCCATTGGGTGGTATGACCCATAGCCAGTACAGATTACAGAATTTGTGGGGCCTGGTATAAAATGAAAATGCAGAACCAAATGTTTAAAAATTATTAATAATTTCAAGATGGCAACAGGAGATCATTAATCCAAGTACAGGCCCTTCAGCCCAGGGCTACTCAGCTAACAGCCTGCATACCCTCAAAGCCATCTTTGGCCACATCCACATTCCCACATGGAACTTTGGTGACCTGAGAAACTGGGACTTTCACTGATCCAGGTCACTCCTAGACTTGATGGCAAGCACAAGCAGTTAACAGTAATTTTATTGAAAATTGATTTAGGACTTCCCTGGTGCCACAGTGGATAGGAATCTGCCTACCAATGCAGGAGGCACAGATTCAATCCTTGGTCCAGGAGGATACCATATGCCACGGAGCAACTAGGCCCATGTGCCACAGCTGCTGAGTCCTCACTCTAGAGCCTGAGATCCATAACTACTGAGCCCATGCGCTGCAACTACTGAAGCCCACGAGCCTAGGGCGCATGCTCCACAACAAGAGAAGCCACCATAATGAGAAGCCCACAGACCACAATGTGCAGCCCTCACTCATCACAACTAGAGAAAGCCCGTACTAAGCAACCAAGACCCAAAGCAGCCAAAAATAAATAAATAAAAATAAATATTTTTTAAAGAGAATCAATGTCCATAAGGAATTTACAACAAAAAGTATCAAATTTTTTTAAAAGAAAATTAATTTAGAAACTGAGCTATACGGAAGCTATAACACTGCTTCTGGGAACTGTTATGAAACTCAGTTTATCATATATTACTATAACTAGGGTGACCATATACAGTAAATTCATCATCCAAAACTGGGACCGTTTTTGGAGTGAAAGGAGGGACTGTTAATAATTATGCCAGAAAAGTAGGCAGTAGGGTGTCCCTGGCATGCAGAGATACATGGTAATCACCTCACTGTTTTCCAATATATTCATGCAACAGTCACTGTGCCCTAGCTCTATTTCTGCAGTTTGTTTTTCTATCCAAATAATTTTCACTTGCAGGTTATATAACCTGTATTTTTAAAATATCACTCTACCTGTGCTTTACTATTCCTCTTAACTTCTGAAGCCATTCTGAATTAGAATCTTAGCTCAATTCTAGTTGCCAACTCTTTTCCTTCCTTCCTTCCTTCCTTCCTTCCTTCCTTCCTCCACACTAGTAGGCCAAACTAGAAATATCATCCAGTTGGCTATAATTACATAAAATAAAGCTTCCTCTCTAATCAGGTAAATCCCAACCGCCTCTTTCTAAATGCTTTGTTGTTCACAATGATCCATGTTTCTTAATCAATTACTCCTCAAAAAGCAGCTAAAAAAGAGTGATAAGACTCAAACTTACAGATGGGCAATCCAAAATTAATTCTTCAACAGTTACTATGTCCAGGCCAAGCTTTTCTGACAGAATTTCAAATATATATTTGTAGGAAGGGTCAATTTTCATTTTTCGGTTTTCTCTTGCATCTCTGTATCTTGCCTAAAGAGTGAAAACCACAGGTTAAAAAAAACGCAGTTAGGAAGAAAAATCACCAAAACGTTTCATTTGAGATCAAAGTGACACATATGAAAAACATAAGCAAACCTGTCTCTCTTTTAATGTTTCCTGTAGATTTGGAATGCCACTCATACTTCGGCGATATTTGGATGATCTGCGGGAAGACTGGGAGAGGCCATCAGAAAGCATTGACTGGGCCATGCGCAGCGCAGGCCTGGGTCGCACCCTGCCCGGTTCCAACTCATCATCGTCTGGCATAACTATCCTTTCATCAGAAGGAAGGAGATTCAAATAATCACTTAAAGAGGAAGTAGGGGCTTTCTCGGAAAGAGAGCCTGTATCTCCCTCAGACACCTCTTCGGGAAGGTTTGGGGTCTCCTCGCTGGAAGGAGGAGAAGTCTCTTCTTCTGCAGGGGGCGGAGCCTCATCTCGTGGATCCGGAGGGGCAACCTCTTCGTAACCAGGAGGCGCCCTTTCTCCGGAAGCGGGAGGGGCTTCTTCTTCTGGAAGGGGTGGGTCGCCTTCCTGAGCGCTCATGTTATCCAGTCCTTCCACCAGGAAGGCACCTTAAAACTTCAAAACCTAGGATGATAAAAGGTTTCCTTTTAAAACTATTCAATAACTTGAGCGTGATGTGTTAATTTGTTACTACCCTTGAAGCTAGACAGGTGAACAAAATTATGTATTTCTCCCTACTGCATTATCTAAAGAAACTAAGTTTATGGGGCTAGAGAAAGAATTTTTTTTAAGTGAGAGCGCGCGCACACACACATACACACACACCCCTCTAGGAGCTTTTTCAAACTGTGAAAGTGCTTCTCCTGATCATGATGTGACCCTAGGGGACATACCCCATTCCCAGTGGAATAGGAGGGGAAAAATTCAATCAAGTCTCCATCAAAATAAATAGGCATTTAGGATATGGTTAAGATTCTTACTCTCACAGAATAAAAGAGTAAATAATTGAAGAGCAAAAGAACAGATTACAAAGCAGCTACTTCAAAAGAAGATAAAGAAGCTTTCTAGTGAGAAATTCTGAAGTCAATGGGTGCAGACCTGGCCTAAGTAAGATGGTGCGTCATATGAAGGGACACCAGCAGCCCTTCATCAGACACAGAGATAACCTATAACCTGCACCCGACATCTGCCCTCTCCAAGTTTTCCAAAGCACCCATAAACAGCTGAAATTTTCTTTGATATACTACTTTGGTCTATTCCAGAACAGAAAGACCCACACTGACCTTTCAGGTGCCAGCTAACCTGTTGACCCACCCACATCCAAGATGTACAACAAGAACTTAAACTGAAGTTTTTGCTTAATTTTTTCTCAAATCTCTCTCTTCTCTCCTATAGATCCTGGTTTTTGTCTTTGACCTTTGGCCATAGTCTAAGGTCTGGGCTTCTGTGGCTCAGACAGTAAAGAATCTGCTTGGAATGCAGGAGACCAGGGATCCATCCCTGGGTTAGCAAGATCCCCTGAAGAAGGGAATGGCAACCCACTCCAATGTTCCTACCTGGGAAATCCTATGGAGAGAGGAGCCTGGCGGGCTACAGACCATGGAGTAGCAAAGTGTCTGACACAACTGAGTAACTAACATACACACACACACACACACAGTCTAAGGTCTAGCTTCTTCACACTAGAGGGAATTTGCTTAGGCAGTGACTACTTAGATGTCTGTGAATTACTATTGGACACAACAAAGGTATATAATACCCAGGGGTTGTGTGTGCATTACAATCTTACACTTGAAACTGGCCTATAGGAGTCAGCTGTGCTATCTATAATATGTCAAGATCAAGTATGATGATATATACTAGTGAAGTCACATCAACTACCTGTCACTCTGTTCAAATTTATGCTTTTGAATTCTACAAAATAATTCACTTTACTTGGTAAGAGAATCATGCCTTCTCTCAAAGGGTATCAACAGGTATTGTTGTCTAGTTTCTGAAACCAAAGAAAAATTTAATTTCAATAAATGGTAAAATATGTGTACTGATTGAGTTCAGTGGGGCTGGAGAGCATATCCATAGGCACTCGGTGCTCTTTCGAGAGACACACAGTAATTTAAGCCAGTATAGAGATACCATTATGTAAGCCATGAAAGAAAGGCTAAAACTGAAACATATTTTGCTTAAGAAATCAAGGAAGGGTTCAATAAATCTAAATGAGGTTCCCATCTAAAAATTACTACTATTTCTTAAGTGTTGGCACAGATTAAATTTTCAGAAAATTTTATTACTTAAAGATTCCAGATAGTTAAGATTCATGACACATAATTTTAGAACTAGAAAATACATGTTAGAAATCATCTAGTTTAATTTTCCCTTTTTACTGATAATGAAACTAAGATCCAGAGAAGTTACAGGTCTTATCCAATTACACAGTCAAGAATGATCTTCCTAATGAGGGAAGTAAACACATCAACACTTATAATTTCACTAGAACCAGTCAAAGTGTGCACAAAAATCTGTAGTGTCAAAAGAGAAAGTGCAGGAGGAAAATCTCTAAGAAAGAGCTGTCGTTTAAGACAAGTCTTGGTAGGATACATATGAGTTCCATGCAGAAGACTGGAGTTGTTGTGCCATTGGGTCACTAAATCATGTCAGACTCTTTTGTAACTCGCCAGGCTCCTCTGTCCATGGGATTCTCCAGGCAAGAATACTGGAGTGGGGTGCCATTTCCTTCTCCAGGGCATCTTCTTGACCCAGGGATTGAACTTGAGTCTCCTGCTTGGCAGGCGGATTCTTTACTACTGAGCCACCAGGGAAGCCCAGAGAAGACTGGGGAAGTAATATTGTCAGCAAGTAAATGCCAGTTTCTGTCCTTGCTGAGACACAGAACTGTGGTTGACAAATATATATGGAGAGAGGATGTAAATAATATGAATTTTTAATACACTTAATATATTTAATACTCAATATATATGTTTGATGAAAATTGACATTATAATAATCATAGTCTAGACATAAAAAATGGAGTTGGGCTGACATTGAGGACCTGGTCTCAGACACATCCCTGCACCACTGAGAACTTAAATTTTCTCTGAATTGTATCAAAGTGAAGGACACCACTAACCATTTTCAAAACAGCACCTGCTGGCAGCTGCAACTTTATAATTTCAAGGTTTCCCCTTATACTTAACTATGGAACCATTTCAGATCCCAACAAATCCTTACTTAATGAGCACCCTTACTTCTTGCCAGTTCCAACTATTATTCTTGATAAACCGTTCATGTAATTTAACTGCAAACTTGTGATTTTTGCCTTTTTAAGCCTCCTTCATCTTGGAGTCCTGCATAACACAATTCAAGTGCTTTTTGAATCTGTCTCTCTCAGGCTGCAGTCCTAACAAACCCCAAATAAACACCTTTTAATTCCAATCTCTGTTTCTCAAATTTTGGTTAACATAGCATGTGTGTATGTCTGTGTGTGTGTGTGTGTGTGTGTGTGTGTGTGTCTACATACACATATGTAGATATATACCGTGCATGTATGCATGCAAAGCAACTTCAGTCATGTCCAACTATTTGCGACCCTATGGACCATAGCCTGCCAGGCTCCTCTCTCCACGGGATTCTCTGGAAAGAATATTGCAGTGGGTTGCCAGTGGGTTGCCATGCACTCCTCCAGGGGATCTTCTCGACCCACAGTTCAAACCCAAGTCTCTTGCGTCTCCTGCACTGGCAGGTGAGTTCTTTACCACTAGCACCACCTGGGAAGCCCAATATATAGCACAGTCATACATATTTTGAACATTTTTTTCTAACACTAGTAAACTCAATTTATTTCAGTCTTTCAACACTTATTTTCTGCTAAGATGATAGGTTTAACTTCTTTTTAAAAAAAAAAAATGACTGGGGAGAACAAGATGGCGGAGGACTAGGTGGACGTGGAGTGCATCTCTCTCCACAGATACATCAGGAATACACCTTCAGACACGGACGGGCATGCAGAACACTAGCTGAGAGCTGACAGGAGTACATGACCAGTGGAAAAGAATACATAGACCCATGCAAAACTCGGTAGGATGGAGGAACTAGGGAGAAAACCAGGAGTGTTAATAGGACTGGACCTGCCCACAAAGGGTGGAGGAACTGAATCAGGGGTTCCATCCCCACATTGGGACAACTGTCTGAGTCAGAGGAGAAACACTTAAGGCTGAGACTGAAACAGCTGATCTGTGGCAGCCTAAATGGAAGGAGAATCAGCCAGTCCTTGCCACAATCATACATACCCCAGACAGGGACGAAGATCCCCTGTAAGGTGTAGCAGCTGGGAGCTGCAGTTTAAGGATTGTGGAGCAATCCCAGGGCAAGGGCTGCTGTTGACGGTGGAGAGACAGATCGAGGGGATGTGAGGGAGGAGACTGTGGTGGGAAATGCCTGTGGAGGAAAGCCAGGCAGCCATGGAAGCAAGGCGATATTGCTGAGTCACGCATAGCAGGTGGAGCCATCAGCACAGCCTCTCTCCCCCTACACGTTAGCATTGGCAGCTTAACAATAGAGAGGCTAGCCCATCAAATGCCTGACGCACTGAACTACAGACCTGGACCCCACCCAGGGTGCCCCTTTAAGCGCCTGATGCGCCGATCTACAGAGTAGGACCCCAGCCAGGGGGGCCCCTCTATGTGCCTGACACGCGGAACAACAGAGGACCCCAGGCAAGGGAGTCCTGTAAGTGCCTGAAAGGGCAGCGCTACAGAGAAAGACTGGACAAAGAAGCCTTCTGACTGCCAGCTACAAGAGGCTCGAAAAAAGACTGTGATAGGGCCATAACTCCTGCGGGGAAGGCAGTCCGCGTCCCTGCACACTTGGCGCCGCCAGGGTCCCCACAAGCCAAGCAGCTGTGCCACCTTCACACTCAACTCTCACTGGGGCAGAGCTGCCATGGGCAAAAAAATTCTTGCTTCTATGCGTGCAGGGTCGCTTCAGTTATGTCCGACTCTTTGCGATCCTGTAGACTGTGGCCTGCCAGGCTTCTCGGGCAGGGAGGGGGGTTCTCCAGGCAAGAACACTGGAGTGAACTGGCCATTACTGGTTGCCATGCCCTCTGGAGCACTGCATTTCTTGCTGCCCTAGCTGCCAGCCCCCCTGAGAACCTGGTGCTGCCAGAACCCCTGCGACCCAAGCAGCTGCACCTCCTCCACCCCTGGCCCTCACAGGGGCAGACCCAAGCCCTCCAGGGCAGCCTCGGGAGCAAACCCCAGAGGACGACCCACACGCAGAGGTGGAAATAAAACCACAACGGAAACCCAGGGGCAGTGTGGCTAAGGAAGAAGACCCAAAACCTTCCCACAGCCATACAAGCTGCAGATTAAATCCACACAATCAACTAGGCAGACTCTGTGTCTATGGAATACATAAAAGGTCACTGAGAACTCTCCCAAAAGAAAACGCACTGGTTCTGATAGCTGTGGACATTGGAGGCAAGAACACACAGGAGAAGGACCAGACTGGAATCAGCTGCCCCCAGAGCAGGTCCAGAGATCAGCACAGTGCTGGAGGGCGTCCTAGGGAGGCGAGGTGGACTGTGACTCCCCGGGAGGGAAAGGACTCTGACAGCAGCGACTCGAGAG